GTTTTGCAGTCTGGCGCATTAACCCACAGAACCACACCAGGAGTCCAGATTCTGATCTCTCTCTGTACCTGAGGTTATATTCCTATTTGAGAATGGGTTTCTCTGTTATGATAATGAGGCAGGATTGGTGTTGTTAAGTGCCCTCTGGAGCAGATGGTGGGCCTGAACCACTGACCTTATGGTTCGCAGTCCAGTGCTCATTGTACAGAGCCACCGAGCTCTCCAGTATTAGTGTTTGTTGTGAAGTGCTGTGGAGTGGATTCTGACTCAATAGCAACACTGTATAAGGTTTCCGAGGCTGTAAATCTTTACGGGAGCAGAAAGCCTCATCCTTCTCCCATGGAACAGCTGGTAGTTTCGAACCGCTGACCCGGAGGTTAGTAGCCCAATTAGTAACCACTATGCTACCAGAGCTCCTTGGAGAGATAATAGAGAGAAATATATAAAGCAGTTGTGACCAATGTTAACATTTGAAGAATTTGACCACAAGAAAAGGGAATTAATTCATTGGACTAATCTTGCAGCGTTTCTGTGAGTTTGAAATTTTACAGAAAATAAAAGCATTTTCAATGGGGTTCTGTTCCAAGTACTGGACATTGACTCCTCACAATAACCCTCTGAGGTGAGTCTTATTATGTGAACATGAGGAAATGGAAGTCCAGAGAGGTGAGTGATTTGCCTAAGGCCACACAGCTGCCAAAAGGCATAGCTAGAATGCAAATCTCTACACACTCAAGACATAGGCAACCTCTTACTAGATTAGTATAGGAGTTCACATCTAACATGTATAACTAATAAAATGTCTATAAAGTGGTATGCTCAATATTTTTTACAGATGGGGTCTCAATAAAAAATGATGATCTGATGGCAGGGCCACTAGGACTGCTCTGTCTTGTGCCCCCCAAGATACCCTGACACATGCATTCATTCATACAGTCTGCATTGATTAAGCACTTGTAGCATAGTGGTTACGAATTGGGCTGTGAGCCGCAAGGTCAGCAGTTCGAAACTACCAGCTGTTCCGAGGGAAAAAGATGAGGGTTTCTGCTCCCGTAAAGATTTACAGCCTCACTGATGAAATGAAATGCGGATAGGTCTCTTGTGATACAATAGTGAATAATTGTTATCAGGACTGCTTGTAATGGTTGGAAATGTAAAGGTAGACGTTTTGTAGCAAGGAGGGGAGTGATTAATTTTTCAGCCTAGGAGCGGAGGTCCCTGGGACCATCAAGGGAGAAAAGCAGCGAGTGGGACCCTACCCAGAGAAGCAGTGATGTCTGAGAGGCAGGCAGAGATGATGACGATGATGTGGAGAGATGGAGCAGTTGGGAACTTTAGACACAGTTAGGAAGAGGGGCTGTGTGCTGATGACCGGGGGACAGGCTTGTAGTGTATACTCTTTGGTTGGTTGATGGTGCATGAAGGGGATTATAACCATGGCAATGATATACAATAGGATGAATGTAAAACTAATGTTCTCCCATGTAAACTATCACATAATTCACAATAAAGCATTAAAAATAATAAAAAAAAAAAGATTTATAGCCTCGGAAACCCTGTGAAGGGTCGCTATGAGTCGGAACCAACTCCACGGCACATAACAACAACAACATAATCAATGTAATGCTTATGCTAGGGTTTTGCATTCACGTAACAAACATTTACTGAGCATCTACCATGTGTCAGTCTTTGTTGGAGGCACTAGAAATAGAGCTGTGAGTAAAGCAGGCAAACATCCCTCCCTGCCCACGTGGAGTTGACATTCTCGTGGGGGGATAAACAGGGAACGAATATATAATGATATTGTCAGTGATCAGTGTTATGGAAAAAATAACCCGAGGTGATGTAATTGAGTGGCGTTTGGGAATAGACATGGCATCGGTGAGAGGGTGACGCAGTGACAGCCTTCCCATGGAGGTGACATTTGAGCTGAGCCTGTCCAAATAACAAGGAGTTGGGCCTGCTCATCTCAGGTAGAAGGACATTCCAGGACAATGGGCAGCCTGGGCAAAGGTCTTGTGGCTGAAGGGTGCTGGGTGTGTTGAGATACAGCAAGGGGGGCCAAGATGGGTATAGCAGCCAGCATGAGGGGGAAGGGAAGATGAGCTCTTTGCATGGGTAAATTTGTCCTCATTTTCCAGATAAGGAAATGAGGGTCAGAGAGAAAAATTTTAATCATTTGTCCAAAGTTAGGAAGTAGGCAAACACACAGGCCAGAGCCCAAACTCACTGCCTCAAGCAGACTCTAATTCACAGCGACCCTGTGTAGAGTTTCTGAGACTATAGATGTTTACCGGAGCAGAAGACCTCATCTTTTTCCTGAGGAGCAGCTGATGGGTTTAAACCACTGACCTTGTGGTTTAAACCCAATGCCTAACCCAGAGTGCCACCAGGGCTCCTTAAATTAGAGCCAGCGGGTCCACACTAGATTCTCAGATTTTCTCCTGCATCAGAATGATGGGCGTTTGATGGCTCAAACCCACCAGTTCCCCCTTCACAAAAACCTAACTCAGTGATGGCTCTTGGAGTCCTGGTATGGAACTATAGGATAAGTACTAGACTATTACCCACAACATCAGCAGTTCAAACCCACCAGTCACTCCTTGGAAACCCTACAGAGGGTTGCTATGACTCAGAACCGACTTCATGGTACTTAACAACAACAACAGGGTTGGCAGGGGTTAGTCGATAGGGAGCCTGTACCATTAACCAGCCCCCAAGAGATTCTAATATTTAAGACACACTTTAAGAAAGCCCTGTCTGGGTAAGGCTAGAGGTCACCATCCATCAGTGGGAAATGAGAACAATCTGATGGACCAAATCCACTGTGCTAAACAAAATGAAATAAAATCGAGCAAGAACAGAAAATAGCAACAAGCCCTTCCCATTTGAAGGGCTTCCTACATTTTATGAAATTTGTTTCAGTTTAAAAGTGTGTGTGTGTGTGTGTGTGTGCATCTGCATCATGTTCAAAGAGGCTTTATTCATAAAAGCAAACCATAGAAACAACCCAAACATCCATCAACACATGGACAGTAGTATAATCATGCAATGGAATATTAGGCAGCAATGAAAAGGAATAAACCACATACTACAACATAGATAAATGTCAAAATATTACACGGAACCAAAGAAGCAAGAGACAGGAGCATATATCATATATGAGACATGAGCAGAGACAAATTGAATCTATAGTGACGTAAAGCAGAGGATCAAGATGGTTACTGAAAAAAGCATGATGGAACTTTCTAGAACAAAGGCAATATTGTGTGTCTTGACCATGATGGTAGTTACATAGGGCATGTAAACATCATCAAAACTCACTCAACAGTGACACTTAAAACAGGTACAGTTTATTGCATGTCAGTTCTGCAACAATAATGATTTTTTTCTTTTTAATAATATATGTGCCTATGTGCATGTACTGGGTCACAATATAAAACATATTTCTTACTGGTGGGATGTGATTTCAAATTTTTGAGAAAACCACCATACAATCTCACTAAAATTCAGAGATGCAGTCCAGCTGAGATCAAGAGATAGATGCTGGAACCCCAACACTGGCTACCTGGCAAGTCTGAGCCCAGTTTTCTCTTATGAAAACAAGAAGGCTAGGCCCCAGGGGCATCCACCGGTACCACCTCCTGGCTTTGACCTTGGATGAATGATTCCACCACTTGGGCCTTGGTTTCCCTCAAATCTCCCAAGGCGATAAAGATAGGGTCCTACCTCAGAAGAGAGGACAGAGGGGTTATAATTAGATACCTCAGGAGGCCAAGGCCCTGGGCATGGGGCCTACTCAGGAGCTGGTGGCCTTGGCCATGGTCTTATTAGGGATGGGGAGGAAGGGAGTGCCTAACCCATGATGAGAGCTATGAGGGAGGCTGGGGATGGGCCGAGAGGCTAGACCAAAGCTAGGCCTATGGCCCCAAGTCCAGCTGTCACTATCCTTCATTATCGCCCCCAGCTGTTCTCTCCTCCTGACCAGGAAACCAGACCCAGCTCACCAGGGTCATATTCTGGGGCCGGAATGCTGGGTCAGCATTTCCTGCAGGGACTCTGGGCCCAGAAGAGGGGAAGGGGCTACTGTGGGGTCAGCAGACAGGCTCAGAGGGCATTACATGTCTCTATCCCATACTCACACTCCCCACTCCAGGGAAGGAAAAGAGGTAAGGACTCCAGGATAGGCAGACCCCCCTCCCCCTTCTTGCCCCTCCCTGTCCCCTGCCCAGGCCCCAGAGAAGCGGGCTATTCTGGGAGAAACACCTGTTGTTCCAATTCCCATCCCTGCACCCAGTCGGGGATCAAAGATGCTGGGGGAGACAGAGTTAGAGAGACAGAGAAAACGTCTGTTGAGAACCTGAAGAAAAAAGAGAGGCACAGAGACAATCCAAAGAGACAGATAGGGCGAGACGTGACCCAGAGACCCTTAGAGACCTAGAGCAGCCATATTTGACCCTCCGTCCTAAAGCCAACAGGGAAAGAAAGATCAAGGGACCCCCAGGAGACTCTCAAGAGCTGAGGATTGAAAGGAGACAGGTCCTCCGGCCCACTTCAGTCCCCTTCCCAAGAATTTAAATAGGTCAAAGTCTGGAGCAAGAAGACAATTAGGGCTAGGAAGTGTAGGGAGGGGGAGGGGGGACAGCTAAATTAAGCTGAGGAATTAGAACCACCCCTCCCAAGTGCCTGCTTCCAGGGTGGTGGGAGGGGGTGCTCCCTCTGAATGGCCCCACTTCTCTTAAGACAAACCACTAATGTCAGAAGAGACGGTGACCAAAGATCCCCCACTTCTCCATTCTGCAGTCCCAAATCCTGGTGATTCTGTTGTGGGAAAGATGGGGTACTAAGAGAGACAGAAAAACAGACACAGAGGGATAATTATACAGTGAAAGAAGAGACCCCGCGTCTCAGAGGCGACCCGCAAGCAGGAAACATTCAGAGACAGACACTCAGAGACCCTGAGAGATAGCCCCAGACACTCGTAACTCAGAGATACGCACAGTCCGCAGGAACTGAACATCGTCCTCGCCCTCTCCTCCGTCACCCATGATGGCGAGGCCCGGGGGGCCAAGGCTGAGGTTAGTGGACCGGGGGAGGGGGCCGTAGGCTGGACCGGCTGGAGTCGGAGATCGCCAGGGACGCCTGAGGCACCCGCGAGCTAGATGGAACTGCGAGGAAGACGCGCCAGCTGGGCAGAGATGGGCGAAGGTCCCCGCCCCCCGCCTCCCATTGGACCAGGACGGAGAAAGCCACGCCCATCTCAGGCCTCCACCCCCAGACCTCAAACCCTGCGGCGGGGTGAGTTTGGCGGGAAGGTGGGTGGAGTATCTAGAAGGCGGCTACTCTCTCTCCGCTTCCACCTTAAGGAAGGGGCCATCGTTCTCTCCATTTCACAGTGGGCAAACGGAGGCTCAGAGCGAGGAAGCCCTTGGCTAATACCACAGCAGGACTGTGATGCACACCCTGGTTTCCCCGACTTGAAAAATCACAGTACCTAGTGGTTAGAGCAAGGAACTCTGGTAGCGTAGCGGATACGAATCGGGCTGTGAACCTCAGGGTCAGCAGTTCGAAACTACCAGCTGTTCCGCGGGAGAAAGATGAGGATTTCTGTTCCTGTAAAGATCTGCAGCCTCGGAAACCCTGTACAGGGTCGCTATGAGTCGGAACCGACTCCACGGCACATAACAACAACAACAACATGTGGTCAGAGCAAGAACACCTGAGCTAGACAATCTGGATCCAAATCCCAGTCTTGCCACGCCTTTGTGTGATCTTGGCTTCTCCGTGCCTCAGCTTCCCCATCCTTTAGGAAGGATTTTAATAGAACCTACCTCACAGTGCTGTTGCCAGGACTAAATGTGAGAATTTATGCTATGTAAGTGTGTGTGTGTTTATTTAGCTAAAAAGTTTCACCGAAGGATATTTAGCCTTACTATCTGGCGCTGTGGGAGTCCTGGCACTGTAGGACAAACACTAGACTGCTAACCACAATATTGGCAGTTCAAACCCACCAGTGGCTCCACAGGAGAAAGATGAGGCTGTCTGCTCCCATAAAGATTTACAGTCTTGGAAACCCTTTATAAGGTCACTATGAGTTGGAAAGTGAAGAAGACTTAAAATATTTACCGATGAAGATCAAAGAGCACAGCCTTCAGTATGGATTACATCTCAATGTAAAGAAAACAGAAATCCTCACCACTGGACCAATAAACAACATTCTTATCAACAGAGAAAAAATTGAAGTTGTCAAGGACTTCATTCTTCCTGGATCAACTATCATCACTCAGCAGTCAAGAAATCAAACAACATATTGCCTTAGGCAAATCTGCTGCACAAGACCTTTTAAAAGTGTTGAAGAGCAAAGATGTCAGCTTGAGGACTATGGTGCGCCTGACCCAAGCCATGGTGTTTTCAATAACCTCATATGCATGCGAAAGCTGGACAGTGAATAAGGAAGACCATAGAAGAATTGATGCTTTTGAGTTATGGTGTTGGAGGAGAATATTGAAAGTGCCATGGGCTGCCAAAAGAACCAACAGATCTGTGTTGTAAGACGTGCAGCCAGACTGCTCTTTGGAGGCTAGGATGGCCAAACTTCGTCTCTCATACTTCAGACATATTGTCAGGAGGGACCAGTCTCTGGAGAAGGATATCATGTTTGGTAAGGTGGAGGGTCAGAGAAAAAGAGGAAGACCCCCAGCGAGGATGGACTGGCAAAGTGGCAGCGTCGATGAACTCAAGTGTGGCAATGATGGTGAGGTCGGCCCAGGATCGGGCAGTGTTTCGTTCTGCTGTGCATAGAGTCGCTATGAGTTGGTACCGCTATGAGATGGCACTTAACAACAAGATGAGTTGGAATCAACTCAATGGTAGGGTTTGGATATGGTTGGAAAGGAATCCTGAGGACTGCTAACCAAAAAGATGGGGAGATCTGCTCCCATGAAGATTACAGCCTCAGAAATCCTATGGAACAGTTCTACTCGGTTCTGTAGGGTCACTATGAGTGGGAATAGATTTGAGAGCAGAGCAGTGCATTTGTTTGGGTTTTGTTAAGTGGGTTAAGTGTTGCTATTATCATTACTATTCTTTTAAAATTGCCTGATGAGGTGGTAGCCAATATCTTTTGTGTTCATTTCAGGCCCAAGCTAAAGTCTTTTTATTAGGTCTCATTTTGGTGTCACAATCCTATTATCTACTTTGTCTACCCACTACCATTGTGCAGATCCTGACTCACAGAGTAGAGTTGTGAAACAGGCACATGTTCCTCACACAACCCAATGCTTAACTCACTGCACCACACACTGCCTCCACGTGGTTTGCTGCTGTTGTGTGCCATCGAGTCGGTTCTGACACATAATGACCCTGTATAGGATTTCTGAGGAGCAGCTGGTGAGCTTGAACCACCGACCTTGCGGGACACACCAACTTTGCAGTTTAGCGCATTAACCTACAGTGAGTGCCACACAGGATCAGAAAGCCTCATTTTTCTCCCTTGGAGCGGCTGGTGGACACAAACTGCTGACTTTTCTGTTAGCAGTCCAACTGGTGACCCACTCCGCCACCTGGGCTTCAGGATGTTTAGAGAAGGAAATGAAAATGTATGACCCTTGTCAGGTATTATGTTATGTCATGTGCTATGGAGTCATTTCCGACTCATAGCGACCCCGTACAGCGTTTCAGAGGCTATAAATCTTTACAGGAGCAGAAAGGCTCATCTTTCTCCCATGGAACAGCTGGTAGTTTTGAACTGCAGACCGTGAGATTAGCAGCCGGATTCGTAACCACCACACTACCAGAGCTCCTTTGTCAGATATAGTTTTAAGGATATAATGTGTATAAATCAGGTAATCCTTAGAACAATCTTGTGAGGTCAGTATGCTTAGGGTGCCCATCCATCTGCAGAGGAAGAGAGTTAAGCATTGAGAGGTGACGTGAAGTGAAGTGACTTACCCAAGGCAAAGCTGAGATTTGAACCTGCGACTGGGCTCTTAGTAATCATTCACTTCATCAACTAGATATTTCTGAAACAATTCCTCTTTATAACCAAAACCCCTTACCCCTGGTGTTCTGACCTTCCCCCTCTCACCTTCCCAATCCAGGGCTGCCTGAGCCCCCAGGACCACTAGTTCTGGGTTTTGTGATTCCCTGGAAGATTCCTGTAGCTTGCTCCTGTCCTGCTCACGGTCCCTGCACTGCCGCCTCCGGCCAGAGGAGGCACCCACGCCGCCAACTCCCCGCCCAGGTCTCTGCAGTTCCTAAAACCCGCGCTGCTGTGGGGCTTGACGGTCAGCTCAAGGCGTCACACACGCGTCCTCCCCGCCATGCTGGCGACTTTGTTCCTGTGGGGTCTCAGTTTCCTCATCTTTCAATCGGGCTAATCCGGAATAGTTCCTGCCTCCTGAGATCGTGGGGGAATCCATTAAAACCTACCATACCGTAACTGATAGATACAAGAAATCTAATAAATGTGTTATTATTAAACGTGATGGTGTAAGCACTGAACCACAAGATCAGCGGTTCAAACTCACCAGCCGCTCCTCGGAAGCCCTATACAGGGTCACTATGAGTCGGAACCGACTCGATGGCGCACAACACTATATTTTATATATATATATAATAGATTGCTGGCGTAGCCCGAAGAATAACCACTGGACTGCTAATCACAAGGTAGGCTGTTCTAACCACCCAGATACTCCTCGGAAACCCTCTACAGGGTCGCTATGGGTCAGAACGGACTCAACAGAACTTAACAACAACAATGTATCACATAGCTAAATAATTCTAATTATGTAGTACATAATTTTATACCATATTATTGATTCTACAACGCATAATTATTATATCCATATATGCTAATATGTGCAGTGATGGTGGGGCTGTAGAATAAGTACTTGACTGCTAACCACAAGTTCGGCAGTTCAAATCCATCAACTGCTCCACAGGAGACTGATGAGGCTTTCTGCTCCTGTAAAGATTTACAGCTTCGGAAACCCTATACAGGGTCAACTCAACAGTATCTAACAACAACAACCTGCTAATATTAATTATGTTGTTGTTAAGTTCCGTGGAGTCAGTTCTGACTCATAGTGACTCTGAATTGGGTTTCCGAGGCTGCGAATCCTTACGGGAGCAGAAAGCCTCATCTTTCACCCGCGGAACAGCTGGTAGTTTCCAACTGCCAACCTTGAGGTTAGCAGCCAGAATTGCAACCACTACGTTAGCACAGCTCCTTAATATTAATTATATGTAGTAATAAAATTAAATATTATGGAATTGAATATAAAGTTTTTCTTGAAATTAAAAAAAATATCAACTATTTATAATTTGTAATGGCATACTCATGTGATGTAGGATAAGCGCTGGAGTGCTAACCAAAAGATCAGCAGTTCAAACCCACCAGCCACTCCTTGGTGACCTTAATAACAACAACATCTAAAATTAATCATATATAATAATACAATTATATGCTGTGTCTCTCATACTTTGTAGTATATTATGTATAACTGATTATTAAATATTAAGCTTTTCTTGAAATTTCAAGAAATCTAAATGATTTATCATTTGTAATGGAGTCCTGATGTGGCATTGTAGGATAAGCACTGGACTGCTAACCAAAAGATCAGCAGTTCAAACTCACCAACCACTTCTTAGAAACCCTATACAGGGTCACTGTGAGTCGAACCAACTCAAGGACACTTACCAACAATAACACATTTGTAATATAAAATGATTCTGTGTTGTTGTTGTTGTTGTTAGGTGCCATTGAGTCGGTACCAACACATAGCGACCTTATGCACAGCAGAACGAAACACTGTTCGATCCTGGGCCAACCTCACTACTGTTGCCACGCTTGAGTCCATCGATTCTGCCACTTTGCCAATCCATCTCACTGAGGGTCTTCCTCTTTTTCTCTGACCCTCCACCTTATCAAACATGATATCCTTCTCCAGTGACTGGTCCCTCCTGACAATATGTCCGAAATATGAGAGACAAAGTTTGACCATCCTGACCTCCAAGAAGCACTCTGGCTGCACTTCTTCCAAAACAG